TTTGAGGCAGAGGCCTTCATATGCTCCCCCCCTTTCCTGAGCATTGTGAAAAAAACTAAGATAACAGTAATTGTATTTACATTGGGTTGAGTCCAATGAGCATAAGTGAAGGTTTGCCTGTTGAATTCTGCTTCTGGAAAGGAGTTTTCCTGCCCTCCTCTGTCTTATGCAGCCCCCCCCCCATCCCACCAAAAGGTGCTCCAACAGCGTGGGAGTTCAGTGCAGGGAACTTGCAGCTCATGTAGGAGATCTGTGGAACTCGTGGACCTATTCTTGTAGGAGCTGAAGAACACCTTTCCTCTTATATCTCTTCAATGAAAAGGGCTAGAGACTTGCTTTAAAAACAATGAAAGCTGGGAATTCAGAGGAACCTGTAGATTGTGGCACAAGGTCGCTGTAATGTTCTTGTGCCACAGAGCAACGGCAGCAGCCAGTTAAAAACCAATCCCTCACAAAGCCATTTGTGGCATAGTGAGTGAAAAATTCAGCAAAAAATGGTGGCCGACTGAGGAAAGCGCGCACAAAACTCCTGTGTGAACGCTCCATTGCAAAGGTGGATGCCTCTGCATTTGCGGCAGTGATGACAGGGAAACAAAGAGACCTCACCATGTGGGAGCAGCCTGTCAGCAAGCTGCCAAATTTCTTTTCAGTTGATTGTCCCATGTATGCGCTTGCTTGCTTTCATTTTCATATGTAGACCTGTTGATGCGCTTAATTGCTTAGCTGCTGGAACGTCTATATCTCTCAAGGCCACAGGTGGTTGCTGCTGGATAGTTGCTTGGGTGATCTCACGGAGGGCCATGGGGAGGAGATATGTTATGCCGCCTAGAAGCATTTGCTCCCAGGCCCGATGGCGCGCGGGGGAAGTTCCGCAATTGGGCCTCAGCTGTTTGAATGTACTATAACCTGTCATGCTCGTTGCATCCCCCCTCATTCCTAACAGTGATCCTGTTGCATCCCCCCTCATTCCTAACAGTGATCCTATAGCTTCAAATAAAGTAAAACCTTTCTGCAAGAGTGTACTTCATTGATGCTGGGGGGGAGCCTGACACAGCCAAAGTCACCTTTGGATCCAACCCATTACACTTTTGCTAAATGTTTAAAGACCTTCACGTACGTGGACTTAGGAAGCTGCCTCCTACCATGTCGGGCCATCGATCCGTTTAACCCAGTACCGTCTATTCTGCTTAATGTTTGCTGTCCGTGGTCCCAAGGTGGAGATTTTCTCCCAGCCCTGCGACCTCCTGTCCTTTGAGACGCCAAGGGCTGGAACCTGGAACCTCCCTTCATGCAAACGATGTATACTAACAGTGCACATGAGCCCCTGTCATTAGTATCACAGTAACCTTACCACTTGAGTCTCCGTTACATTCCGTTTCTGATTGGGCTTCTGGATTCCAGCTGTGGGCAATGTTGGGGAGGGGAGGGGGATGTGTAGGAGTCTGGGGACACCGGGGGCGGGGAGGTGGAGGTTTGTACCTCTGGGCACAGTGCTTGTGAGTTTTATCCACAGGACTTTTGCAGTGATATCCCTAAGAGGAGTGTGGTCACTCTTGCCAGCCGAGCTGCTGCTTGTGCAGAAGTCTCTAAATACTAGTCTTCGCTAGCTGATTTAGACAGATGGCGTTCTTGCCCAAAGTTATTTGCCTTGAAGAGCAGTGGAAAGGTTGACCCGGTGATCCGGGCAGGGCTTTCTCTGTGGGCAACAGAACAAAGTTTGAGTCCAGTGGCACCTTTGGGACCAACAAAGTGTTATTCTGGCTCTAAGCTGTCATGTGCAGGCACACTTCTTCAGGTGCATTGAAACAGAGGTGACCGACCATTACATATGGGTAGAGGTTGGGAAGGGTGTTGCCAAGAAGGGCTAATAAGAGTCAAGATGCATAAGGAACTGAGCAATAAATATAGCTGGGTGGTGGTGGTTTCCACTGTATCAATGTATTGCAGGTATAAGAGAGGTGTGAGTGGGTAGGTGTTTAGGACCTAGAAGTCTGTATCAATGTATTGCAGGTATAAGAGAGGTGTGAGTGGGTAGGCGTTAAGGACCTAGAAGCCTTTTCCCACCGCCTGCGCCTGAAGGAGTACTTTCAACATACATACATTGATGACATCTTTATTGTCTGGACACACGGTAAAGAAGCCCTGGACAAATTCCACCAGGCATTCAACAACTTTCACCCCACTGTCAACCTGACAACGAACCAATCTATGCAAGAAATACATTTTCTGGACACGACTGTAAAAATACAGGATGGATACATAGACACCAACTCATACTCGAAACCTAAAGGTAAAGGTTTCCCTTTCTCGAAAGCCAGTCGAATCCGACTCTAGGGGGTGGTACTCATCTCCGTTTCCAAGCCAAAGAGCCAGCGCTGTCCAAAGACTTTTCTGTGGTCATGTGGCCGGCATGACTAGACGCCGAGGTGCACGAAACACTGCTAACTTCCCACCGAAGTGGTACCTATTTATCTACTTGCAATTTCTTGCTTTTGAGCTGCTAGGTTGGCAGGAGCTGGGGCCAGAGATGGGAGCTCACTCCATCACGTGGCACTAGGGTCTCGAACTGCCGAGCTACAGACCTTCCAGTCTGCAGCTCAGCATCTTAACCTCTGAGCCACCGACCAAAAAACATACCTACATGCCTCTACCTACCATCCTTAACAAAGCCAGAATGGTACCCAGAGAAAACCTGTTGCAAGACAGGCCCAAAAGAGACAATAACAAAACACCACTAGTGGTCACACATGGCTCTCCGCTCAAAACAGTTCAATGCACCATCAGTGACTGACAATCTCTACTGGATGACATTTCTCTTTCACAAGTACTTTTCTTGCCCACAGACAGCCACCCAATCTTAAACAATTCCTCACCTACAGTAATACAACATATAATTTGACATGGACACTGGAACCAGATGTTACAATAAACCCAGATGCCAACTTGCTGCCACATACGCCCAGGTAACACAATCAATGGACCTAAGAACATCAAAGACACCATCTCAGGCTCATTCACTTGCTCGTCTTCTAACATTGTATATGCCATTAAATGCCAACAATGCCCTTCAGTTCTCTACATAGGGCAAACAGGTCAAACCCTATGCCAAAGGATAAATGGACACAAAACTGAGAAACCTGTAGGAGAGCACTTCAACCTTCCAGGACATTCAGTGGGAGACCTCAAAGTAGCTATTTTATTGCAAAGGAATTTCAGAAACAGGCTAGAATGGGAGACTGCTGAGTTACAAGTTATTATAACACTCAGGACAATGGAACCCCCAGGGCTTAACAGAGATATTGGTTTCTTTTCTCACTACACATGCTAACGTCATTCAGTTCTCACATCTGTTTGTAAACTCTTTTATTATGCTGTATGCTAATTTGCTGCTGTTCACAGGTCTTACCAATTGCCTTCATCCAGTCTTAGCTATATTTATTCCTCAGTTCCTTATGCATCTTGACTCTAATTAGCCCTTCCTACCACCACCCTCCCCACCCTCTACCTATATGTAATGGCTGGTGACTTCCATTGTCTTCAATGTATCTGAAGAAGAGTGCATGCGCACGAAAGCTTATCGCTAGAATAAAACTATATTGGTCTTAAAGGTGCCACTGGACTCAAACTTTGTTTTGCAGCTTCAGACCAACATGGCTACCCACCTGAATCTATCTGTTGGTAGGTCCAAGAGCTCTTTACGCAAAGTACATTTGGCAATTGTTATTAAAAGTATATGGCTGTACATGGTATTGGAGTTTTTTAAGCAGGTCAGTATCATCCTTCAAATATAAATTTTCCTTTAAAAAAATAATCACCTCTTGGAGGTGGTGGGGTTGCCAACCTCCAGGTGGTGGCAGGAGATCTCCCACTATTACAACTGATCTCCAGGTGACAGAGGTCAGTTCCCCTGAAGAAAATGGGAGCTTTGGAAGGTGGATTCTATGGCATTGTGCCCCAATGAAGTCCCTCCCCTCCCCAAACCGGGTTTGATTCCCCACTCCTCCACATTGTGGAGATATGGGTTTTCATGTCCCCCCTCTCCCAGGGCAACTTAACTGGTCCCTTTGTTCTGCTGGAAAGAGTCCTGGATACATAAAATGTTTTGTAGTATCTGCATATTTACAAATGTACAAATAATGGGCTCCCTGGGTCCTTCAAGTGAGGGAAACGGCACAGGGTGAAAGACTTAGCTCCCTCTTTCTCCTCATGCTGTCCTTCCAACCAGAATCGGGCTCCTGTACCTGGTAATTGTATTTCAAACATTGCTGGGTGCTCCGACCACCCCACCCCCCGCTTCTCACCTGGTTGGACCTCAGTTAAATGCCCTCCTGTTTTGCCACATGAGGTCCAAATATTGGCAACTGAGGAAAAGGGAGAGAGACAGAGAAGACGACAACATGCTGCCATGTTTGGGAACAGATGTGGAAAATCCAGCTTTGAATCCTTGGATCTGCAACTGGATAGCCTTTTCTAAGTCACTGTCTTTTAACCTTACCTACCTTTCAGGTTGACGGGACAGTAAAGTAGCTCTGAGACCTTAGGAGAGAGAGACCCAGGTAACCTGTGAATAAAGCACTGGTTTATACTTGCATTTTGGTCTCTCGGCATGGTTGTAGAAATGGAGAGAAAAGAACCCCAGGTGAGGAATGGCAGGTCTGGGGCCCCCTGAACATTCAACTTCGTACCAAGGTCTTTTGTTTTATTCTAGAATCTGCTACAACGGCAGGGGTTTCCCGAACAAGGCACGCTTTAAATATGAGCACAATATATGGATATGCAGTATGCATTTAAGAAGTTTTCATATTTAATTTCCAGGGATTTTTTAAAAGACCTCATAAGCTCTGCAATACACAATATTCACGTTGAGATAAAATCGGCAGGCAAACTATATACAGAATCTCACATTCTTTGTCTGGTGGGTAAATCTTTTTTTGGTTTTTTTTTTAATGGTAGAGCGGAAGATTGGCGTTGGGATTGTAACTACATCTCAGAATGTATTTTTCTCCACCACCACCCAGGCTCATCTTTGCCAGCTTTGCTTGAGACCGGCGTATTTCTTTAGGGTGTCCTCTGACTGCCTTTGCAGCTCCTCGATGTGCACGTTTAAAACCTTTTCGAAGTCTCTCGCTCGCTTCTCCTCCTCTTGGAGGAACTTCTCCATCGCGGTGGCAGGAAACGAGGTCTCCGGGGAAGGCTGAGCGATACAAAAGGATTGGCACAATTAGGACGGGCGCAATTATGGCACCGGCAATATTCCGCTGGCGGAAGGAACTTTTTGTTTGTATATGCATTCTCTAGCTAGTTCCCCTTGCCAAGGGCTTTATACCCGGCTGGCGTGCGTCCAGATCTATACTGGAACATTAGCTCAAAGAAATACAGCTAGTCATAAGAACATAAGAGATGCCAATGTTGGATCAGGCCAAAGGCCCATCCACTCCAACACTCTGTATCACACAGTGGCCAGAAATACCAGGTGCCATCAGGAGGTCCACCAGTGGGGCCAGGACATTAGAAGCCCTCCCACTGTTGACCCCCCCCCCAAGCACCAAGATGACAGAGCATCACTTGTCCCAGAGCACCTATCTATACCTTGTGGCTAATAGCCACTGATGGACCTCTGCTCCATATGCTTATCTAATTCCCTTTTGAAGCCGTCCATGCTTGTAGCCGCCACCACTTCCTGTGGCAGTGAATTCCAAGTGTTAATCACTCTTTAGGTGAAGAAGTACTTCCTTTTATCCGTTCTAACCCAACCGCTCAGCAATTTCATGGAGTGACCACGAGTTCTTGTATTGTGAAATATAGTCACTGTGTTTGAGCAGGTCTACAATTTAATGGCAAGGACGACAAATGGTTTGACACTGAAACTTAAGGCCGATCCCCATTTGTCTGATTTCCGCCCCCTTCCATCTCACGCTTCCACTAAGGAAGTCAGGGTGGTGGACCTGGCCCTCTCATCCTCTCAACAGCCCTGTTGAAGTAGGCTGGGCTGAGAGAGGGAGAAAGTGACCAGCCCAATGTCACTGGGTGAGCTTCGTGGACAGTTGGGGGTTTCAACCAGAGTCTCTCTGGTCCTAGGCTAACACTCACATCTACATGTTAAGACATGGTTTGTGTGATTCTTAGCAGCCTGACCAGCCCCATCTTGTCAGAGCTTGGGAACGAAGCAGCGTTGGTCGTGGCCGGTACTTGGATGGGAAACCACCGAGGAAGACTGGGGATGCAATTTAGAGGCAGGTAATGGAAAACCTTATCAGTGCAACAAACATGAAATTAAGCAAACTCCGAAGCACGATGGAAGGCAGGAGGGCCTGGCGTGATGTTGTCCATGAGGTCACGAAGAGTCGGACTCGACTGTGCGACTGTACAACAACAACAACGGAAAACCACCTTTGGTCATCTCTTGCCTCGGAAACCCCATGGTCCTGGGGTTGCCATGAGTTGGCATGCTACTTTTTCTACTATTATGGATTGTCACAGTCAGATATTTGACTGGTAGATGGTGTTCTGCAATTTAAGATCTAGCCAAGTTCTAGGGAATTGCAGATGTATCTTCACAGGATTCTTGCTGTTCCGAGCAACACTGTCTTCTGGAGCGGAGCTGGTGTTATTTGGTCAATGCCCAGAATGTCCAGGTGTTTATTGAGACTTCTAGGCACTCCTCCAATGACAACTGGCACAACGGCAAAGTTCTTCTTCCAGAGGCACTCCCAGTGTTCCCTCTAAGCTGAGTTAGTGTGAGCTAGCTCACAGTTTTTTAGCCTCCAGCTCACAGATTTTTGTCTTCGCTCAGGAAGGAAGGCTCCAGAGCAAACTAATTTACGCAGTAACCAAACTGCTTGCTCACAACTTTAATGCCAGGAGCTCACAAAGTAGAATTTTTGCTCACAAGACTCCACAGCTTAGAGGGAACATTGGCTCTAACTCTATTCATGGGTCTTGGTATTTTATGATCTTCTCCTGTTCTTTATTTTCTATTTTCTCCTGGGATTGCAGTGTCAATGATCCAAACCCTGTTTATCATCCCCCCCCCCCCACAATTGTGATATCAGGGGTGTTACACTCCAGGTGTTTATCTTTTTGCAGTCGGAAGTCCCAAAGAACCTTTGTTTTATGATTCTCCATGACCTTGTTTGAGCTCCCATGAATTTCTGGCTGATGGTAAGCCATACCACTTGCAAATATTTACTTCTTCATCCAAAGAGTGATTAACTCATGGAATTCACTGCCACAGGAGGTGGTGGCAGCTACAAGCATGGACGGCTTCAGGAGGGAATTGGATAAACATATGGAGCAGAGGTCCATCAGTGGCTATTAGCCATAATGTATAGATAGGAACTCTCGGTCTGGGGCAAGTGATGCTCTGTATTCGTGGTGCTGGGGGGGGGGCAACAGTGTGAGGGCTTCTAGTGTCCTGGCCCCACTGGTGGACCTCCCAATGGCACCTGTTATTTTTGGCCACCGTATGACAGAGTGTTGGACTGGATGGGCCATTGGCCTGATCCAACATTGGCTTCTCTTATGTTCTTATGTATTCCAGCGCAATATAGCTGCAACTCTATTGTGACATTTTTATAGTCAATTTGAGCAATTTTACTGTCGATTATCAGTATTACTATTATTAGATTCTTAATCTGGAAAAATAATAATGTTGTATTTATGGGTGGCTTCTTTATTTTACTCTTCCAAGAGACTTGAAACTAAGTGCTGGTTGATCTATCCATGCCAATCAGCTCGTGGCAGAGCACTGAGTGATGGGTTGCACGCATATGGATGAGCCATTATAGATTAATCACCACAAGCAGGTTTACGTATCAGCCGATGTCAGCTCCAACACACAATATTCTTCAGGAGAGCGAGTTTGCACATTCTGCAGAGAGCCAGCCAGTGCCAGGTAACAAAGTGAGAAGAGATTTGAGTGATATAAACATAGGTGTGAAAGAGTTCCTGGATGGTAGAATGCCTCCCTATTACAGAAACACCTTGGCACTGACATTGCCTCAAAGCAAACAAGTTCACACCCCGTCAGTTACTGGAAGTGATACGCAGTCCTTGATTTCGACCAAGCCGTGTCAGCTCTGATCTAGCGGGTAACTAAGGAACAACAGGAACGGTGTGCCTGGCTGGGACAGATGTTCCATGTGTGCAGTGCCACGTAAAGGGAGAAGGGATAGATGCACAGGTCCATTTGTCATGCGCCAAGGGACTGGGTCACCACCATCTATAGGGGGTGGTGACTCGGTGGGCTAGCGCATAAGATACACCTTCCCTTCATCTCCGGATATGGATGGGGAGAGAGGTTTATCTCCTGCCTGGATCTGCTGCACAGAGTGATTTCCTGTACAGTTCTAGTCGCCTCCAGCCCCTCTGATCTATACTTGTTCCACCCTAAAATGCAAAAGATGTACTAGCTTCAAGTAAAATCTGGAAGGAAAAGCCATCTCTGCTTCTCTGTTTCACCAAATTTGATAGAGACAAGGGGGAAATACGGAGCACCCTACGAAGTACTGTGCCCTTTGATCCAGGATCCAGATTTTCGTCTTGGCTAAAGCTTTAGTGGATTAGTGTACCAGCAGGGCTCTTTTTGTAGAAAAAGCCCAGCAGGAACTCATTAGCATAATAGGCCACACCCAACAGCAGGAACTCATTAGCATATTAGGCCACACCCCTGCCAGCACAGCTCATTAGCACATTAGGCCGTACCCCCATGTTACCAGAAGTGTGGTCATCCAGCCACACCCACTTTTTGCTTCTTATTCTGTTTACCTTGTTTGCTGTCAAAACCCAGGGCCTTTTTTTGTAGCAGGAACTCCTTTGCATGTTAGGCCACACACCCCTAATGTAGCCAATCCTAATGAGTTTCTGCTGTTGGGTGTGGCCTATTATGCTAATGCGTTCCTGCTGGGCGTGGCCAACTTGGGAGCCAGCCGGAACTCCGTTCCTGTGTGTTCCTGCCCAAAAATAGCCCTGTACCAGTATAATTAATGACATCTTATGAGCTACATCTTGTGCATAAATTCAAATACTGTCAATATATTCGGCCGTGTTAGTCCTTTGGTTTTTATTGTGGGACAGTTCGGCAGCAGAAGTCTTGCGTTGTGACTGCGGCTCTTAAGTGAGGGTGGGTTGTAGGGAGGAAATTGGCATGAAATGGGTGAAACAGTAGCCATAGTTTGGCTTGTAGACTGGGGTTCCCAACCTTTTCCAACCCATGGGCACATTTGGAATTCTGATGATGCAGTGGGCATGGCCACAAAATGGCTGCTGCTGGAGCCGGCCACAAAAATGGCTGCCACGGCTGAACTTCAGTCACACAGTGAAGATCGTGGTGCTGTGGTGGTGGCTGCTGCCAGAGTGATATAATTAAAAACCTGCAAAGCCAATCAAATCTCCAGGCTCAATCAGAAGCCTTGCTGGGCGAATTCCCTACCTGGCACCGCCCACTTTCTCAAAAGACTTGGCGGGCGGCAGAAAAGGTGTCGGCAGGCGCCGTGGCTCCCGCGGGCACCATGCTGGGGGCTCCTGTCATAGACTAAGTTTTGAGAATGTGATTTAAAAACCACCCCCGCCACTACCACAAAGTCAATAGTTACTACTGACCATCTGGCTTTCTTCTATAACACGAAGATGGCCGAGCGACGTATCAGACTGATTTCTTTCAGGAAGGTAACTGCAGTAATATGCAGGATATCTCTCTGGTGGCGATCGAGATCTGCCGTCTGCTGTAGGTTCACGATCTCTGCATGGTTTTGGAGGAGGCAGGTTTGCAGGGCTTTCGATACCGACAATATCCCCCTGGCCCTGCCAGGCAAGAATTTGGGTTCTGCAGCCGCCAAAGGCTTCGTAAGTTGCAGACTGTGGCGTCCCTTCCCTTTCATTCTGCACTGGCCTGAAAGATCAGCACAAAGGGTTTCGCATTACAAGCTTCTGAAGGCCAGCCAAGACTTCATGAGATATCACTTTTGTGCAAAAATATTCTGTTCCAAATTTGCCTGCAGACTTCTTTAAGCGACATGCCATTTTATTTTATTTCTTTGATGAAATAAGCATTTCTAGCCCGCCTTTCCTCTTAGGAGACTAAGGTGACTAACAGCAGATCCAGAAAGCATCACACAACACTGTCAACTGAATGTTATACAGAAAGGTAACAGAAACACTTTCTGAAGGGGGGAATGTAACAGGTACTGTGTGGGGGCTGCCCTTGAAGACAACCCAGGCGCTTCCGCAAGTTCAAAACACAGCTTCTCGTTTGGTGACAGGGAAGGGCGGCTTACCTCTTGCTGCCCCACTTCTAAAACAGCTTCCCCGGCTTCCTATTTTATTTCCGGAATCAATTCAGGGTATTTGCGGTTCCTTTTACAACCTGGGAACATTGCTCCCGGTATGAGCCCACATGCCAAGTGCACTCCGCACATCAAAAGAAAAAGCGCCTCCCTTGCATTTCACCTAATTCTCCCACAACTGAAAATATGAGGATTTCATCTTTGCTGACTTTTAGAAGGTTTGGAAAGACATTTTTCTAGAATCGCCAGCTCTGGGTTGGAAAATACCTGGAGACTTTGGGGGTGGAGAGGGCGGGGTCTGGGGAGGGGAGGGGCCTCAGCATGGTACAAGGCCACAGAGTCCACCCTCCAAAGCGGCCATTTCCTCCAGGGGAACTGATCTCTGTCAGCTGGAGATCAGTTGTAAAAGCGGGAGATCCCCAGGCCCCACCTGGAGGCTGGCAACCCTACAATAGTCCAGCCTGGAGGTCACAGAAACTCGGAACAATAAAGCAAGGCCATCCCTGTCCAGGACAGTTGATAACCTATGTTTGAAGGATCATCTCCTTCCATAGGTCCCTGTGCGCCAACTGCACATGAACACGTGAAACTGCCTTATGTTGAATCAGACTCTTGGTCCATCAAAGTCAGTATTGTCTACTCAGGCTGGCAGCAGCTCTCCAAAGTCTCAGGCGGAAGAGGTCTTGCACATCACCAGATGTTTTAACTGGAGATGCTGGGGATTGAACCTGGGACCTTCTGCAGGCCAAGCAGATGCTCTACCAGTGAGCCACAGCCCTCCCCCCCCAAACAACTACAGTTGTCATGCAGCCATCTGTTGGGTGTCCCACCACTGAGGGTGGCCCATCTGGCATCGACCAGAGCCTGGCCCTTTCCCATCGTGGCTCCAGCTCTGTGCAGTGGGCTCCCTGAAGTGAGGGGCCCCCTCTTTGGACATCTCCAGGAGGCCCTGCAAGGCCTGCCTGCTTGCCAGGGCATTTGAGGGGGTCTGAATTGCAGGCATCTTTTTTTTGGTGGGGGGAGGAAGATTTGGGGTTGGCTATTTCTCTCATGGGGGCTTGCGTGGTTCGATGAGGCTGTGGGCTATGCCGTGGAGGGCCACCCAGGACGCACAGGCCACAGCAGAGAACTCAGACCAAGTGTGATCCACTGGAGAAGGAAATGGCAACCCACTCCAGTATCTTTGCCAAGAAAACCCCATGGACAGTATCAAAAGGCTACAAGATATGACGCCGGAAGATGAGCCCCACAGGTCAGAAGGTGTCCAATACGCTACTGGGGAAGAGCAGAGGGCAAGTACAAGTAACCCTAGAAAGAGTGAAGCGGCTGGGCCAAAGCCGAAAGGATGCTCAGCTATGGATGTGTCTGATGGTGAAAGGAAGGTCTGATGCTGCAAAGAACAATACTATCGATGCAACAAACATGAAGTATCGATGCAACAAACATGCATTAATCTTTACTGGTTTTTAATTGTTGTAAGCCACCCTGAGCCGCTTCGGTGGGAGGGCGGGATAAAAATCTAATAAATAAATAAATAAATAAATATAAGTTGAGCAAACTCCGGAGGATGACAGAGGACAGGAGGGCCTGGCATGATGTGGTCCAGGGGGTTGACTGTGCGACTGAACAACAACAACAAAAAAAATTTTATTTTTGGTTTGAACGGGAAACATTTTTCAATATTACGGCAAGCCACACTGAACCACACGGAAAGGCGAGATAGAAATGTTTTAATAAATACATAAATAAGAATTCAAAGCAGCTTAAAAAATGGTCTTGACCGCTGCTGCAATCTGTTTTTCTAACGGGGGGGGGGGGCTAGTAGTAACTTCATGCCAACAAGTGCAGGCAAACCAGACTCCGCCAAGGCAGCTCCGTGTTCCCTGATGCGACACTTGTAACTTGTCTGGATGAAGATCTGTCTTGTTCCCCATCATCCGCTTGACCGCTTATTCAAAGAAATATGGAGCTGAGTTGTCGTCAGTATATCGACAGCACCCAACATCCAAGTGCGGGGCTTGTTGGGGAAATGGATGTGTATCCCAGGGAGCGTGTGGGTTTCCCTAAATTGCATCCCCTGGAAAGTTAGCGGGGTGTCTGTGTGAACCCTTTTTTCCATATGCATTGTGGTCTTGATCTTAATCGGGCACCGCACACACAAGAACTGAGGAACACCCACAAGTTGTGTCACTTGTTGTGACACAAGAGTGAGGACCCAGACCCAACCTGTGTGCTCCATAATGTGTGAAGAGGGGTTCAAATCATGGGTCCAACAGTCTAAGGCAACTTTATGTGTTTATGGGTTATGCAGGTCTAGGCTTAGACAGCCTTTCCATGACGACAGCAGCTCCACGCTTGTCAATTTTTCTGCTTTTTTAGTATTTATTTTGCTCATGAGACAATTAGTTGCTCTGTCTTCCCCTCCCCCATGTTACACTGTTGGCACAGAATCCAACAGGTTAATTGATTGATTATCATATGGCAGTGTGTGTCGTGTATTGTCAGGAGATCCTAAGATTGTCTGGCAGCCAGAAGTTCTAGTTATGCACCACTAGGTGGCGAGCTAGACTTGTTTTTAAGGCAAGAGACGTGTCGGAGGTGGTTTGCCACTGCCTGCCTCTGTGTTATGACCCTGTTATTCCTTGGCAGTCGCCCATCTGAATACTAGCCAGGGCTGACCCTGCTTAGCTTCCAAGATATGACTAGCCTGGGCTATCCAGGTCAGGGCTCCAAGAGGTTAGGGAAGGGGGACGTGTACAAGAACAGCAGGCTATGAATGATGTCTTCTCCAGGGGCCAAAATATGCTCAAGGACCCCAACTGGGTAGCTGCTCATGTTGGACTGTGTCAGGCTCCCAGTAAAACCACTCTTCAGCCAATATCACTTAAAAGCTTTATTGGAAAGATTTGGTTAACCGTAGAGATGAACGCCCTTGTTAGGACTGACTGGCAAGTCCAGAGCGGGAGATGGAAAGTAAAGGTGAGCGCCCACATTCCATGCATACGCCATACACACCAGCCCACTAATGGTTCTGATAGTTCCACAACTGACTAGCCATTCCCAAAGTCTTATCTTTGCCCAAGGTCATTCCTGTGTGAAAACCCAGTTGTTCCTTGGGGGCGGTTGCTTCAAGAAGTGTTACAAACATGGCACAGCCTTAAACTACAACAATCGCTCTTTCACACTCCCCCCCCCACGGAATCTCATGTCAGAGAGGGCATAAGATAGTAATTGAAGACAAGAAGCACTAGCATTAGTGATATATCAGCAATAAATCTCCCTGCATGCCCGAGTCTAACAGCCTGTGTCCTACCACTAAGCAACATTTGAAGACTTCCTTCAGCCAAAGGAGTCATCTTCCAAATCAGGTAGTTCTTCCTTCAACTTCCTCCAACCTAAGACAGGATACTTACTGCCCTTTATCATCCATGTACTAGGTTTGCAGACTTTCCTTTATCTTTAAAAATGCATCAGAAGCACAGCCTACTGGATCAAACTGAAGATCCACCTGGTCTTGTTTCATGCAAGGCTTTATCAAGAAGCTTGTGTGTGGGCTCTGAACGCTACTGCCTCCTCCCCTGTTGATAGCCCTCACTGCATGGTACGCAGGGGGACAGACTGCCTCTGTGCTTGGAGGCTCCTTTGAGCTATTTTGGCTAAGAGACATGAATTTGTTGTCATGAATTTGTTGTTGTTGTTCAGTCGCACAGTCAAGTCCGACTCTTCGCGACCCCATGGAACAGATCAAGCCAGGCCCTCCTGTCTTCCGCCGTCCTCTGAAGTTTGCTCAATTTCATGTTTGTTGCATCGATGACACTGTCTAACCATCTCATTCTTTGCCGTCCCCGTCTTTTTTGGCCTTCCATCTTTCCCAGCATCAGGGTCTTCTCCAGTGAGTGCTCCCTTCTCATTTGGTGGCCAAAGTATTTGAGCTTCAGCTTTAGTATCTGGCCTTCCAGGGAACAGTCAAGGTTGATTTCTTTTAGGATTGACTGATTTGATCTCCTTGCAGTCCAAGGGACTCTCAAGAGTCTTCTCCAGCACCATAGTTCAAAAGAATCTATTCTTCGGCGCTCGGCCTTCCTTATAGTCCAACTCTCGCAGCCATATATTACTACTGGGAATACCATTGCTTTGACCATGCGGAGTTTTGTTTGCAGGGTGATGTCTCTACTTTTTATCATGCTGTTTAGGTTTGCAATCGCTTTCCTTCCCAGGAGCAGGCGTCTTTTAATTTCATGGCTGCAATCACCATCTGCAATGATCTGGGATCCCAGGAACGTGAAGTCTGTCACTACTTTCATGACTTCCCCTTCTATTTGTCAAGAAGTGATGGGGCCGGATGTCATGATCTTAGTTTTTTTAATGTTGAGTTTCAAGCCAATTTTTGCACTCTCCTCTTTCACCCTGAGCAAGAGGCTCTTTAGGTCCTCTTCACTTCCTGCCATTAGAGTGGTATCGTCCACATATCTGAGGTTGTTGATCTTTTCCCCAGCAATCTTAATTCCGGTTTGTGATTCATCCAGGTCAGCATTTAGCATTTCGCATACAAATTAAATAAGCAAGGTGACGATATACATCCTTATTGTACTCCTTTTCCAATGCT